TTAATTTGAATCTTTCACACTCCTTGTTAACGATTCCAGCATATGTAACAAAATCTTAATTTTCTTTTTTGTCAGATTCATACACTTCCAACGAGTATTGAAGAATAAACTTTTCTTGCTAAAAATTTTAGTCAGAATATTTACTGCTTCTTCAAAGCAAATTTCTATTGGTTTCTTCAGGTAGTACAAAATTAAAATATTTTTCATTTCTACCAATGCCAACTTTCTCAACAAAAGTCTTGTTTTTTTTCTCGTTTTCCCAGTCGCTGCATTCTTCTCTGAAAATTTGCTTGTTCCTTCTAAAATAAGCAGAAAAGGTAATTCCATCATCTGAATTGTATGTGAATTCTACTATGGCATTTGCCACTGCATTAGGAGTGAAAAAAACTTAGAAAATTTTCCATTTTCTTCTGTATTATTTCAATATCTGTTTTTTGTTTTTTTTAACCTTCTTTCTCTTTTTTTTTTCTTTTTTTACACACACACCAAAGAAAAAATTAAATTAACATACTATTCATTGTCAGTGTTATCATGTGCATCAAAGCAAAAAGTACCTTTTCTTACTCCATTTAAGTTTTGTTCCCTTGTCGGCACTGTTATAACTTGTTCCTAGCGGTTATAATATTATGTCTCACTTAGGCTACTCACTGTGACATCATTAGAAATTATCCTCGGCTGACTCCAATGGACTTCCTCCAACTTGCTTTGAGTTTTTTATTTAAGGTGTCTTGCCTATTTCATTTGTGTTTCCGAGGTGTTTTATAAGTAGGAGAGATGAGGTCATTAATACAACTTTGTGTTAGCTTTCTGTGAATGCTTTCACTTTTAGTAAGTTCAAAAGCACAATTATTTCTTACAGACAAGAGAATTAACTAATAGCTAAAAATCCTTAGATTACCCATTCAGAAAAATATAACCAGTGCAATTGCAAAATGTTATATTCCGTGCTAATAGAAATATCACTGGAACAACACAGTGGATAACTAAATAAAGGTTATTATACAACCAGTAGTGAGTGCTGCTTTTTGGAAGGTCGAATAGTTCTCAAGTCGAAATTATACTCAACAGATCCCAGCAAGTTTCACGTAGTCCATTGACTTTACAAGTACTTACTACATGGGGGTGCCAAGTTATTCCATTACATCACAAAATTACTTAAATATTACTGCCATTTTTTAGACAGTATAGGTAAACTGGTTTTTAGAGATATTCTACTAAATCAAAAATGTTTAACTTACCGGAGTGATCTGTTCCGTTAGAGGAAAGTCTTTCATCACAGCTTGGAATTCCTGTTCGGTTTCTATGTACATAGGAGTGTAGTTGTCATCACTAAATATACTGTCAAATATATTGGCCCATTTTGTCATCAGCATTTCATTGTACTTGTCCCTGAATACAGAAATAAGAATAAAAACAATAGAGTCCAAAACACTTCATCCAAATGTTTATTTTAAAAGTTTACCTCAAAATTATTCTTCAATTATATTAATTTTTTTACAAAATTACACTTTAAACGAAATCTATAACTTATTTTCTTGAGTAAAATTCGATTGTAAATATCAAACTTTTACTATGAATAAATCAATCAAATAAGGAAATGAAAAATTCAAAGTAGGAAACAATAACATTATTTCTCTTTGAACATAGTCATAAAGCATTAAATTGGAATAATCTTACCTGATCTCAAGCAACAATTCCAACAAATGACCCACACTGAAACCATAACCCTAGGGGGAAAAATACATATGACTCATCAGTTATAATAATTAACAATATTTGGATTTTATTTGCTTTCCTAAAATTTTAAAAACATGTTCTGAAACAGGAACACACACACACACACAATAAGAATTTGATAGCTGTAAAACATCTCTTATATACTAAGCATGAATATTTAAATATTTAAATAGTATTTCCGGTCAGAAATGTCATGCCTATGAAGAAAAAGTAGTTGGTTGGTTGATCAGACAGAAGGAAGGAAAGAGAAAAGAAGAAAGAGATGATTTCCAATACAAGGGAAAAAAAATGGTGTTTTGGGAATATAAAATGACAAATGACGAGGATAATCAAGTTCATAATAAGAAAAAACATACTGACTAAAAAAAAAAAAAAAAATGAAAGTAGCAATGCTATTACTGACAATATGTGCATGAATTTCTGATGAAAATTCAGTCATGCTTAGTAAACAGAAAAAAATTATTTATTTTAAATTATAAGGGATAAACAGTAAAAGCATATTTTTGATAATTTTAAGAAAAAAAAATAGTAAAGCAAGATTATGAATTCATTCATTCATTCATGGATGAAATAGAAATCCATTTTCGAATGAATAGTAAATAATATCTGTACGCAAGATAAATAAAACACTTACCCTTAATGTATGACAGAATAACAGAATCAGATTTTTTATCTCTAACATATTGCCAGATGATTTTGCCTGCAAAAGACAATGTTGAGTAGTTTATTTCAAACAATTTATAGACAAATTATACTTTAACTATTTAAAACATTAAAGTTTATTGTGTAAACGTACAAGGAGACAGCCATCCAGCTTTCTACCAACTAGCCAATGATTACTTCACATTGCATCTCAATTCTCATGCACATCTGGAAAAACTGGGAAAGGTCCACTGCACGTTCACAAGGTAATGAAGATGAAAACAAATGCCTCAGTGAGAAATGATGACTTGAATCTTGTCAATAATATAACAGGTGTTTTTTTTATTTATTTATTCAGGGCTTTGCTTGCTCAGTCTGAGTGGGTAGCTAAGTGATACATGGAAAAACTTCTGCCATGTAACAGCTCCTACAAACTCTTTGCTCCTCTACACTTAACAGCTGGTATAGGAACTATGCAAAGAACACTCTGGCAAACCAGAACTGATTCCATGATCATAAGCATCACTGTTAATATAGACCAGCAACCAGAAATAATCAATGTCTGGTTGGTTGTTGTTTGACTTCAAAGACTTTTCTTTTGTAACCTCCTTGTTCCTCTTTGAAACAAGTCCATGCACTTATAAAAATGGTGACAACAAAATATACAAAAGCAAAAATCTGATAATATTTTCTAATTCTCCAAATGATAAACCTCAGATTTTACATGCAGATGAAAATTTAGGTCAGGTTATTTTTTAAAGTTAGTCTTACACTCTCAATCTCCATAAGAATAAAAATCCCTTGGATAAGTAATTAATCAACTATAATTGTTTAAATATTATTTTCTGCTTTATGTTAAGAAACTTATTTACTTACACAATTTCTTCGTAGTTCAGCAGCTATCTTTGACACAGCCATTTCCCACAATTCATCCATGTAAGCTCGATTTACCAATTCAGATGTTGTATTCAGAATGTGATCTTCTACCACAAAGAATCTAGAAACAAATAAGAACTTGTAATGGTCATAATTCTCTTCTAGTTTAACATGCATGTCAGAATTTTGGACAGTATATGATAAGGAAATGTTTATAAATTTGACATGTCTTGCTTTTATTTAAACTTCATTTGAAAATGAAATATAGTGAAGAAAAGAAAATTCTGGTATTTTTATTTTTGATTTCCATTGGTTAAGCAGACCTCACTTGTATTTCATTATATTGTTTTAATGTCTATGTAATAAATGTTTGTTCCTTTCAAATTTCACATCAGGGTTTTGAGTCTTGTTTGTTTTCATATGTCTTATTCAATATTCAGGATAAGAGCGGTAACATTCTGTTCTCCTACACTCTCTGAAAAAATTCTAAAGTTTTAAAATTTGGAGATTTTGTATTATATATAAACAAAATTATAAAATTTTAATTATTGAGAGGTAAGGGCTGAAATGGAATTTTTCTAATTTAGGCCTCTAGTTCTTTTTTGTTTGTTTTACATTTGTAAATAAATTCTTCTTAAAAAAACTAAAAAAAAAACAAAAAAAAAAAAAAAACTATTAAAATGGATACACCCTACACTCAAAAATATTTTTATATTTTAAGTATTGTTTACAGAATGCAGAGGCTGGCCTAGAATGACAAAGTGCTGGTCAGAAGACCCTGTGGGAATGGAATTCTAACAGTGATGGATAATTCAAACAGTGATGAAATAATTCAAACCAAAATGGAGTATTGATGCCATATTTTGGCTGAAGCTAACCAGTCCTCATTTTCCAGTTCAAAAGCATTTATACAGCCTTGTGGGTGTTGAATTATTTTCCACCCTACAACCACTTTCCCCACAGATGAAATGCTGCTAGCCTCTCACTACTATATCACTATTTTTATGGCCAATGTTCAGACAAACTACATTTGTTAGTTCCACCAGTTCAAACCTTCACAGCTAGGACCTGTCATGCCACAGGCACAGGGTCAATTCATCCTCATTTTCTTCATATTCCATTAGTAAAGAAGAAGTTACATTTAGAAAGCTTCTTCCCCAGAAGTGTTACTTTTTGAAAGACTTCCAAAAGAATGCTTACCCAATCACTACAATCTTAACTTCTTCGAATCTTGGGTCAACCATTATCTATCCTACATACCCTCATAATATGCACTTCTTACTGCCTCCTTTTACACCCTTAAAACAATCTTAGCTTGTAACCCTCTATCTTAAGAGGCTCTTGGGCCTTGTATTGGGTGAACAATAGCATAAGAAAATATTAAAGATACTTTCAAGCATGAATCCAATTTCCATAAGAAACATAATTACGATTAAGGTACAATCCTCTGAACGAAGCTGTTATCAAAATCATTGAAAGTATATTTTCAAATATTGAAATCAAACTATCTCAAAATATACATCACATATATTTAATGTTATGAAGGTAATTTTTGATTAAGAATCTTTATATCAAATACTTGTTAATCCCATGGTTTGTTATAAACTAAAATTGATTGATAAATAAGAATTGTAATTGTTATTTCAGCTTTTGTTCAACAATTGCCTAACTAGGAATTAAGAAAAAAAAAACATACTTTAAAAATACCTTTTGAAAGATTAATAGAATTTTTAATAGTTACTTACCCTACAACATCATGGAAATACAACTTATAGGCATCTAAACTTTCATACTGAAATAAAATTCAAAAAATGATGAAGTATCTTTTATGCAAAAATATTTTTTTTAAAAATCAAATACAATGATAACATAGTAAAAAAGTACAGATGATTTGGATTAACTGATAATTCAAATCTTATTCCATCTATCACAAATATATTCAGAGGTTGCATATGTATGCCATTTCTTTTAGCAGCAAGTCCAATTGTTTTGCACAAGAGTAATGTTTTCCAGCTTTAATCCAATTCGCAACAATGGTTTAAAAGAATAGTGCTTCAACATTCTTTCCTCATAGGTCAGTGCACTGTGGCATCATTAATGAAAGCATTAGTGGATAGTGGATATATAGGATAGTATTTACATTGGAGCAACGATGAAAAAAATTTAAAGAAAAATATGCAAACACATTTGCTATCATTCAAATACAAAAAGATATAGAAATAACACTATATTATCAAAATACAAATGGGAACTAAAAGTGAAAGAGAAAACACACACACACACACACATAGTAAAATGGGTTATAATAAAAAAAAAGTTTAAGAAAACTAGAGGAAGAAATTGCAATCTATGTATGGAGGAGAAAATGAAAATTATAGAATTCAGGAATGTGAATAGATTAGGATACAAAAGGAATTAAATTATTTTGAACTGTCAAAGGCTGGTGCATTCCTTTTGAAAAACATGAAAAGAACTATAGAGCACATGAGTATTCAAGATAAAATGAACATCTTGAGATGTTAATGAGTAATTTAAGCAAAAAATTATATATATTGCTGATACCTTCAAGTGGACAAAATGATTTCTGGAGGATCCGTCTATGAAACGTTGAAGTTGGGATGCTGAAGGTAACATCAATCAGCTTAAGTGACAAACTACTTTAAACTTGTATTAATTCTAATTCATTCTCTCTCTTTATATATATATATATATATATATATATATATATCAAAATTTTAATTTGCTTATTCACTTTTGTATAAAGATTGAAAATTCAGTCATTAATTTTGTTTTTAAAGATATGTTTCATCCATATGTAATATTTTAATAGTTCAGACCTATTTTATTGGAAATCTAACATTTCAAAAACATTTTTTCTATCTACATATATATTTTTTTATAAAATGACAAGTTTCAATAATATTTGACCCATAAAGAAAATCTTAGCAGAATGATAGTCAATGAAGAAAAATATATAACTTTAATTTGCAGTTCTGAGTTAGCCAGTCAGAAAAAAAGCCCCTTGAAAATGAAACAAGTGTACATCTGTATATTTTTGAGATCATGTATTGTAACTGTTTACACTATTTACATTGTTGAACTGTTGTCCTCATCTTTATTGCCATATTCATGACGTTTCAGCCATTGTACACTTCGGCCTTTGTCAGATGATGGCCCAGTGGATAAAAGCATTGGTTGACTGATACAAAAGTGACTTGATCAAAACAGCTGTAAGTTCAATACCTGGCCACAGCAGAGGGAACAAAAAACTTGGAGAGTCTAGCTATCAAGGGGAATTAACTGAAAATGAGATATCCAAAGGCATGCTCCAGTTACTGTTATAAAGTAACTACTTATTTAAGATGTTGCATACTGAGAAAGACAATATTTGGATTATTTTGGAAATGGATCCAGAATGCCCAGTTAAAAAAAAACCATGGAGTTTTACTTTGAAAAGACAGACTTCAAAAAGTTCAGAGGTCATTCAAGAACCACCATAGTTATGACAGTGAGCCGAGACATTCAAAGAACAAGGCTGAAAGATCCCACTTTTTCCTTGGAGAAGTTTACAATCAAGGAAGATCTGCAACAAATCCGCAGACTCACAGAGAAGGCTGGCAAAATATTGTTGAATCAGTAGACAATGTCACTGAAGATGAGAGAATATGTTAATTCATGACCTCAAATCAAAACAATTTTGATGATGATGTAAGGCATGGAATGTGGAATTAGAACAATCTACCCCTGCAGACTAAATAAAAGGAAACATTGAGAATATGGCAATAAAGATGCGAACAACAGTTCAAACAATATAAACAAAACAAGTGTAATCTTGCTAGAAAATAGACTGAATAACTGTTGCACCTTGGCAACAAAAAGGAGTAACTAAAGATGCAAACTTCACAAAAGAAAAAAAACAAAAAAGAAACCAAGAATTAAATTATTTCCTATTCAAGTAATTCTCATTTAATCTTAATTCAATTTATTCTTACTTTTAGTGAATATACTGACAGTATAAAAGAAAATAAATTTTAAAATCACTGATAATTACAAAAACAAACTTCAGACAAATATGCTAATTTGAAAATGTACTTTGATATGAAATACTGAAAATACTTACCATATTTGAGGGAGGATTTAAGGAAAGGCGTGCTTGTTTTCGTCTCTGTTTGCGATAATATGTTTCAAATGTTTCCCTGGCACCCTGTAAAAGGAAAATTTTAGAAAATATAATCCTGCAAAGTAATACAAGAAATTTCAGATTGAAAGAATTTTAAAAAATCCATATTGAATTATATTGAATCAATTGTTAGGTCTGCAGCTAGGAAAGTTGGTTTACTGTGTTGTGTTAGACAATTTTTTTTTTTTGCCAGAATCTATCTTATATATTTATAAGTCTACCATTCATCCTTGCTTTGAATATTGTTGCCACATCTGGTTTGGTGCTTTTGCTATATATTTAGAAATTCTTGATACAATTCAAAGAAGAATCTGCTATGTTATTGGCCCTGACCTGGCATCACAGCTTCAGTCATTTTCCCACAACCTTAACATAGCTTCCTTGTGCCTTCTATAAATATTTTCTTGGTCATTGTTCCAATGAACTTTCCTCTATGGTACCTAGACTCTACAAAGTTAAGCACAGTACTAGATTGTCGGTAAGGTCTCATCAATTTACAATTGAAATAGCTAGATATAACCATAAGTTTTATGATAACAGTTTCTTCTATGACATTTCTATCTTGTGGAACTCTTTGCTGGCTTCTTGCCTCCCAGTCAACTTTGATCTTCAAAAATTTAAATGCAATATCAATCATCATCTTCTGTCTTCTTAATTCCTGTTCTTCTATTGTTCTCTCTCCTTAATAATATTTTCTTTTTTTTCATATTCTCTCACACTCAGTAACCCCCTTGCTTCTTAGTAGCTTTATTGCCTTGCTTGGGATGAAATGATTAAAATAAATCTTGATTCTTTGTTTGGATTTGAAAATTTTTATAAATATGAAACAAAATTTAAATTTCAGCAGTATTATTTGTAATTTTTTTTTTATTTGATGAAACAATATGAATTTTTATTATATAGTATTTATTTTTATCTTGATTTCTAATTGCTTTTTTTTTTTTTTTTTTTTTAAAATCACTGAAGCCTTTATTTTTACTTTAAGGAGTAGACAGCACAGAACGGGAAAATAAAGAATAAGCTCTGAGAGTTAAACTTACATCTCTTTTGTCTCAGAAAAGCCTGCTAAATGCCTGACTAATGTAACTGCTAAGTTACAAGAATATGACAATTTGCAGAAGAAAAATTCCAACATTTTAAATTCATTACTTTATTCCACAATCTTCATCAGTGCCATATTTCTTTTTATACAAACACTATTAATCGCAATCTTCTGACATTAAAAACAAAAATTATTAGATGAAGCATTGTCAACTAAAACTAAATGAAAATTTAGGTGATTCTTTTTCACTTCAGTCCCATAGAAAAAAAAAGAAACATTTTTTTTTTGTTAAATCATGATTTTAACATGATTGAGACATGAACAACAGTATCAAAAGAACATTGTTCATTTTGATTTTTAAATAAATTTTGAAATGATAAAAAAAAAAAAATTATCAACTAGAATTATAATAGGCCACTTTAACCTGGCTAGATGAGAAACAAAATATCAGGATAGCTATATCCCTACGCACATATAATAGGTCACTTTGACCCAGCTAGAAGATAGGTGAAAAACAAGCTATATCCCTGTCTATACATACTCTAGTATATATTTGCTTCATCAGCTAGAAGCAGTTCCTTATATAAAAAAGAATCTAAAGATGAAAAAACAAAAATCCTGAAGACAAACTATCGTCATCTTGTTGACAAGTGTATAAGTTCAAATACATGCCATCCTTTCTTTTTAAATTTTACTTAATACACTATTCTATTCTCCTTCTCTTCTTAACAGCTAAGTAAAAACTTTTATTCTTAAATAAAATAAAAACCTCTTCTCCAGTTAAATCAAGATTGTAAAAATGGCAAGGGAAACTGCTTGTAAACTTAGATAAAACATATGGTATTCTTTTGGGAATTTCATTTAGTCAAGATATTTCAAAAGTCAACATTTTAACTTTCTGCAAATCCCAATTATGGATCATTTTTCACCAAACAGCAAAAACAAATACATGAGCACAATAATTTACACTATAGCATCATTTTTTTTTTATTTATTTATATATATATATATATATATATATATATATATATATATATATATATATATGTGTGTGTGTGTGTATGTATGTAAATATATAAAATTTACAAAATTTTATTATGGAAATAAAAATGGCAAGATGTGCTTTACCATTCATGATTAAAAAGAAAAAAAAATTGACCAGCTAACTGGTTCCGCCCTCAGTCAACAGAGCTGAAATCAAGGGAAGATTAAATATTGCAATATAAAATATAAAAACATGAGAAACATGTGATAAAATAAAGGTAGAAAGATTAGATGGAAATCATGTCAAGTCCTAACAGGCATTCCCTCTGTTTACAGAAGGAGGGCTGCCTGGATCTGACATAGATCGTTTCCAATACCTTTAAGCGTAACACAGAATGGAACATACTATTCCTAATTCTTCCGAGTACATGCTGGTTAATCAGTGCATCTAACCGTAAGGTAGTTCTACCTATGTAGTTGGCTCCGTAACTACATTAAAAATTGTATATTACATTATTTATATGGTGGGGAGGCAGAACATCCTTACGAGTAGAAACCCAAGGAGACCTGGTAGAAAAAAACGACATGCAAATTGGCAGAAAAATAGCAATTTTTAACCATCGAGTTGATTTGTTTGGCAAATTTACCACTTATTGACCCCAACCAGGGCAAATGCAAATAGACAGGGCATTTAAGAGACATACTCAGTCTGAGTTTAGAGAAATTTAAGATTTTCTTTTCCATGACCGACTTGATAATATCCAAAGGGTACCCATTATTGGCTAGAGTCTCAGTAATTGTTTTCAGCTCTTTGTTGATTTCTATGAAAATTGTTTATTTTCTGAAACTGCCAAACTACTAATGTACCATCAATATGTTGATGACACTTTTTGCCTGTTTGAAAAATATAATGGAGGCAAAATTTTCTTTTCACTTCTTAATGGTATGCATCCAGCATTAAGATACACTATGGAAATTGAAACTAATTCCACTATATCTTTTTTGCATGTTTTAGTTACCAAAACACCATTCGGTTATATTACATCAATCTATCGTAAACCAACTTTTACCAGACTATACATTCGATGCATTTTGCCACATCAAACACAAAGAAAACCTTATTAGTACCCTTACACAAAGAGCTTTGATGATCTGCTCAGCATCCAAACTAGATGAAGAGCTGAAGACAATTACAATTAGGATGCAATTCTCGCAAAGGCTACTGCAATGGAAACAGCAAGAAGTTTCTGATAACTCTTTGCCGTGTTATTGTATGTGTGTGAGCTCAGTGATCCTGTGCCTTTATGAGAGAAATACAAAGAGGACCTTTTTGAAAACTTCAAACACCATTGGCAACTAATGCTTTGTGGCTTTCACACAGGATTCAGTGCCGAATTTATAAACAGAGTGCTTATTGACATCAAAGATAGGATTATTTCTGTGGGTAGAAATTCATTGCAAACTTACGGCCTGCCCCAAGTTTGCTGAATGAGTTCAAATACTCTTCCAACAGGCATAATTCAGAAAACATTCTACAAAGTTGACACTCTTGAACAGTATGCCAGCAAAAACAAGCCAAAGTTATCAGCAGTTGGCTTACAATGCCATTTTCAACTTTGTTCATCTTCAGAAAGGTGGTTTGTTCTTCTTGGATACACCTGGAAGGACAGGTAAAACATTTGTCACAAAGCTCCTTCTCACAAAAGTAAAGCAAAAGAAGGGGATCATCTTGGCTGTGGCATCTTCTGGAATTGCTGCAATGCTTCTGTCCGGTGATAGGAGAGCACACTCCGCCTTTAAGCTGCCAATTAATTTAACTTCATCTGATTCAGTAACCTGCAACATAAGCCAGGGTTTGGATAAAGCTGACATCCTGAAAAGGTATGAGCTCATTGTGTGGGATGAGTGCATGATGGCCCACAAAGGAGTCCTTGTGTGGGATGAGTGCATGATGGCCCACAAAGGAGTCCTTGTGTGGGATGAGTGCATGATGGCCCACAAAGGAGTCCTTGTGTGGGATGAGTGCATGATGGCCCACAAAGGAGTCCTTGTGTGGGATGAGTGCATGATGGCCCACAAAGGAGTCCTTGTGTGGGATGAGTGCATGATGGCCCACAAAGGAGTCCTTGAGGCCCTGGATAGGACTTTGCAAGATATAAGGGATTGTCAACATCCAATGAGAGGAGTACCTGTTCTTTTATCAGGTGATTTCAGGCAAATTCTCCCCATTGTTCCCAAAGGTAAAAGGGATAAACACCGTGGAAGCATGTATTAAGCCATCACCTCTGTGACAACAGGTCAAAATTTTTAGGTTGGATCATGACATTCAATAATATCCTTAAGAAAGAACAAATTTAAAATAAGTTGACATAAAAAAATAACATTTTTTTATGTAATGTTTTTAATTAACCTCTGATAAGTAAATTAAATAATTTATGTAATGAATTTGAAAGAAGTTTTTGAACATTTTTTTTTGTTGAATATATATGTACTAATAACAAAAGTTCTTTAATAAATACAAGAGAAGGCAGAAAACATGTCTAGTCAGTCATGTCTTGGAAAGGGAGTTAGGTCAGGCAGAGAACTTCTCTGCACTTCCCTAGATTTTTAACCTCTCAAAAAGTTGTTAGTCATAAGCAATTAGCAGTTAAAGTAAATATGAATCATAAGGACTTACCAAAACTGTGTATATATGAAGGCATCTGTAAACGGGGGAGAAGTCAATAAGATCCTGGGCACTTAACTCCTAAAGTAGAACAAGACAATTACAGTTCTTGAGCATAAAATCAATATAACATTTACAAAAGCAAAAGCTCCTAACATAAATAGCTCCTTATAAATGACCAATTTCTGAAATAAATATTTAAGTTAAACATACATATCTAAAAGTACTTTCAGTTTCATTCAGGTTTTTTATAGTATTAAAAATGTTATACAGAGGAACCTTGGTTCTTGAACATCTCACATGTCAAACAAATCAGTTTTCGAACAGAAAATTTGAGATGAAAATGCCTCAGTTATTGAACAAAATTTCAGTTCTTGAACAACATAGCCAAACCAAGTTAACACGAACAGAATTATTTCTGAGTTGACTGCCATGTTGTATACATTTCGTGTGTTGTTCCATGCTTTTCTTTTCCAATTTTATTGTACTGTGACTTTTTTTTCTTTACTTTGATTCTTATTAGAAAAATAGTTTTGGTTTACAAACATTTTGGGCTTTCAGGAATTAATTAAATTTGTGAACTGAGGTTCCACTCTATTAGTTTTACCAATCATAAATACTTCAACTTTAAGCCTTTCATTTAAATATTGTGAGAAATTTTAACAACTTCTAAAACAGGGGTTCCCAACCTTTTATGCATTATCACCCACTTTCATATGGAAAAATTTTCTATTAGCCACTTGTATAGTAAATATTCAAAAGCATACAGTGATAGGTAAACTATGTTTTGATAGGTACTTTTCCTGCCTTAATAAAAAGCAAAAATATTATTAAGGAACAAGAGCAATAGACGAGTAATCAGGAAGACAGTAGATGACAACTTACATTGCATTTAAATTTTTGAAAATCAAACTTAATTAGAAATCATGGAGCTGGGAGAGAGTTCCACAAGCAAGAAGTGTGAGAAAAGAAACTATTAGTATAGAAATTACAGTTACATCTAGCCATTTCAACTGTAAATTGATGAGACTTGTTGCCAATTTAATCTTTATGTGTGTCCCCTCAGGATGTAGGTGATCATGGCTCTCTACAATTTCCTGTCCCTTGCAGTTTTAAATAAAGTGTCTTTTCTTTATTTTTAAATTCTGTCCTGCCATCCATTTTCCCAAGCTTGTCAAGTATGTTATGTGTTATTTTCCTCTGTCCCTCTTGCCCTCAATCTGTCCTTTGAGTAACAGATTTTCCAAGCCCTCCTCCTCATGTGCCTCAGAAATATCAATTGTCTCTTCATGATGTTAAGTATTAGTTTTCTTTTTGTTTCCATTTTCTCTAAAACCTCATCATTGCTCACATTCTGTCAGTGGCACCCTCAGCATCCTTTTGTAGAAAAACATTTCTGTTGCTTCAAGTCTATTGAATTTTGAGCAGATTGTCCATCATACATCAGGACAAATATCACATAACAGTTCAGTACTTTTTTCTTTGTTTCTAACAAAGTTTTTTTTTCTCTCATTATAACTCTTAGTTTTTCGAATACATCTTTGGCTATCCCAATGAGTCTTCGGATTTCAGGGTCGCATTTTCCGTCCTTTGTTAGATCATTTCTCAGATATTTACATTTTTGTGCTTGGTACAATTTGTAATTTGCATTTTGGGTTCATCCTTTTGCTATTAACTGTTCACTCTGTCTTCTTGCAGCTTATATTTAGTCCTTTCTTCTTGCTTACTTTCACTGCCTTCTGTAGGAGCTTTTGTAGTTTTCTTTCCATGTCTGCTATCAATACAGTGTCATCTGCATACCTTATGGTGTTAAGATTTTGGCAGCCAAGACGGAATCCTGGTAGGACATTTAATTCTCTCAGGATTGCCTTGCTGTATAGGGTGAATAAGTTTGGTGAGAAGACACATCCTTGTCTTGGACCCACCTCCTATTTTTGTATATCTACTGAACTCATTTTCTATCTGCATGCAGGCCATTTGCTGCCAGTATAGTTTCTTGATTATTTTAATGTCCTTCCCAAATATGTCCAGGTTGCTGAGCAGTTCTAACAGACCTTGATGGCATACTTTATCAAATGCTTTTATGTAATCTATAAAGTACAGATACATACCCTTCTGCATTTATATTGCTCTTTCTGGTAACATTCTGTGTATAAATATTGTATTTTTTGTTCCAGTGTCTTTTATGAACCCATACTGTTCTTGTTCTATCTCCAGTCTGATTCTGCAGTGCACTCCATTCAAATTCGGATGATGAGTTTTGTTATATGGCTCATTAGGCTGATTGTCCGATGGAGTTCACATTCATTTGCACCTGGTTTCTTAGGTAGTGCTATGAAAATTGATCTACTTAGGTCTTCTGGTATATCACCACTGTTGTAGATTTCATTCATTATTTCTGTAATATTGTCTATGCTAAATTCATATACAGTTACCAGAATCTCTATTACAATTCCATTTGGCCCTGTTGCTTTGTTTGTTCAATTTGGTCAATGCTGCTCCTACTTTGGTTTGTAATATTTCCAATCCATTGATATTTCTGTGTATTACCAGTTGTTCTCTTTCATGGTGGAAGAGTAGATATATTTGTTCCATCTCTGAAGTATTTTTCTTTCTCTAATATCATCATTCCATCCTTGGATTTTATTCATCCTGTTGATGAGCATGTCTTTTGTCCTATTAATTCTCTTATTTTTTTATGCATATCTGTTTTATCTATGATACTTATTCTTTCTATTTCTACACATTTTTTATTGAGCCATTCCTCTTTAGCCTGTCTGCATTTGTTCCATATTTCTTTGTGTAGTGTTCTATATTCTGTTCCGTGCCTTGGCCTTGGTTTTTGTCTCTTTTTCATCATGTCAAGAATCTCATCTGTCATCCATTCATTTTTCTTTTTTGTCTATTTTCCTTTGAGATGATCTCATTTGTTGATGTCACTAAGGCTTTTTTAGTGTGTCCCACTTCAAGTTTCTATTTTCCTTTTGTTCCTCAAATCTACTTTTCACACTATTTCTCTTTCAGATTCAGGTCATTCAAGTGTCTGTCATATTGCAATTTAGTTGCTGCCTTAGGCCTCCTCAATTTCCATAGTTTCACTCTAAGTCTACATATAATTGGGAGGTGATCACTTCCACATGTGGCACTTGGATAGGTTTTACAGTGTACAACTGCATTCCTGAATATCTTGTTTATAGTTATGTAGTCAATTTGGTTATTCATTTCTCCTCCTGGGCTACTCCATGTCCATATTCATCTTTGGTGTTCTTGAAACCAGGTGTTAGCTACTAGTTGATCACTTGCTGTATACTGTATAAAAATGAACCCATTTTTATCTGTGTTCATTGTGGGCTCCTAGTCTGAATTTGCCAACTATTTCAGCTTCCCTCTCATTACATACTTTGGCATTCAGGTCTCTCATGACAATTACAATTTCTTGTGATTTACATTGAGCCTTGGCATTGAGCTAATCTGAACAATTACCATCAAAAAGTATTTATAGAAAAGGCACAGGGAAGCAACTTGACTTCATGGTTGAGGGAGAGTGAATCCAATCTAAAAAATAATTATCTTGTTTGAAAAACTATTTGAATGTTAATGACACTTCTCAAAACAATAGAAAATACCAAAATATTACTTGTTTGCAGGGGATATTTATATCTTATCTAGGATTTTGACACAGTTATTGACATTTATCCCCCTGTTTTCTTTGTTTTTTTTATATAGGTTCCTTACATATCACCTTTGATTTTTTTTGTGGGGGAGGGGTAGCATATTTTAAAATAAATTTTTAATACTCAAAATCCCATATTGCCTAACATTTTCTGTTCAGTTGTCCGTTGCTCACCCAACAGTTGAAATTGCTCCCCGGAAGTGATATCACCCAGGTTGGGAAAACCTGTTCTAGAAGCATATGAATCCTTGAGTATATGTAAGTAGCAAACTCACCTTTTGAATTTCTGTATATAGGTTAATAAAAAAAACAAAAACAAAAAAACTACCCCTTAAGGTGTACCCAATAAATTTAAGTATCTAACTGACCTCTTCATCGACCTGGTCAGGTTCTGGCTCCTCTTGAATCTCTACCTCTCCAGTGAATGGGTTAGGTGGAGGTGGAGCCCGTCGTCGCCGCCGCCTCTGTTTTGCAATGGAGGGATCAATATTATTTTGTTCAGCAGCCTAGAAAAGAAATTCAATTTTTAAATTATTGGAGAAACTTTTATTGATAAGTGCAGACATGTAAAATTCTTAATCATTTGAAGAAATTAACTTAATTATTGTTTTAATTATAACTTTAATAGACAAAACAGGATTCATTAATAATTTGAAATACGCCTTTCTATTCAGACTAATACATTCATCTTGATTGTTATCTTCAAGGCAAGGGTTGACAAACATTGAAAAACAGTAGTTTGGTGAGGAGATGCTGAAATCAAGCATAGCTGATCCTGTATAGAGGAAAAACATAGTCATCAATCACTGTGGAATAAAATAAATATAACAGAAAACAACGCTGAAGTATAAGACAAATGAAAGAACCATTACTTGACAACCTCCTCAGTAGACCTAACATAGAGGTGGAAACCTTTTAGCCTCTATTAGATTATTCAAGAGACATATGGCCTTGTAGATTAAAATATATTTACTTTTATGGCAGTTGTGAGTTTTCAGTCACTGGGTTGTGGGTGTGTAAATCTCATACTTTGATTCATTCAAGGAAACAGACACAAAGGTGAAAAGACTAGAGAGAATCATTTGATATAAGATAGCTTCTAAGCATAGAAGGTGTAATGAGAACAATCTACCCCTGTAGGCTGAGTAAAGGGACAAACAATATTTAGAGCTACAAAGGTTAGGAAGTTGTGGAGAGCCGTTATTACCCAAAATGTGAAGGGACACAGCTTATAAAAGATCAATCTTTCAGTTCTGTGTTTATGTGCATATAAACCATTACACAAAAATTCACAAAAAAATACCATGCAGCAATGTTTGAATCATGGCCAATGTACCAAGGAAGACATTTGAATTTCATATTAATACTAGTTACTTGTACCATAAAAAAGATGACGACAATATTTAAGTAATGTAGCAACTGCATTGGTTATACCTGTTTATATTGCCGAGATGAAGTATTATAACTATTTACACTATTTACATCGTTTGAACTGTTGTCCTTATCTTTATTGCAATATTCTTGATGTTTTGGCCATTTTACACTCCAACCTTCTTCAGGTGATATGTGTCGGAACAAGATATGGCCCAGTGGATAAAAGTGTTGGTTGAGTAATCTAAAAAGTGACTTCACCCAAAGAGTTGTGAGTTCAATACCTGGCCACATCAGAGGGAACAAAAAAAAAAAAAAAAAAAAGGATAGCTGAGTTAATAAAGGGAATTAACTGATACTGAGATATTCAAAAAAAGTATGGCATGTGGAATTAGAACAATCTATCCCTCTGGACTAAATAAAGGGTTCAGTTTGAAATTCCAATGTATATCACCTGAAGATCGGAGCATACAACAGCTGAAATGTTGTGAATATGGCAATAAAGATGAGGAAAACAGTCTGAATAGTGTAGCATAAATAGTTGCATTGGTTATATTTTCTGCAAAATATAATGTAAGATACTTATCTAGACAATTAACCCTACTAAGAAAGAATACTGTTTTTAAGTCATTAAATTAGAAAAATACAAAGAAAACTAAGATTATAAAAAAAATATATATATATATATATATATAATAGAAAGGAACAGGGCAAAAAGACTATAAAGCAAGCAAACAATATATATATACAAGACAAATCAACAGTAATATGGCAAAAGTTTCACAAACTAAGAATTGGCATTGACACACAAGAGCAAGTTTGGACAAGAAAACAGTGTTCTGACTTCAAGACAAGACAAATCGAGACTGCATCAGGTCAAATCAAGAACCAAACTATTTTACTGGCTAAGAAAAATTCCCATCATGCATCTGTGTGCTTCTGCCTATAAAAAGAAAAGAAGCGTATGTTTTGCAGTCATTCCTAGCCAGATTGAAATCAACAGTAACCTCATCATTATTTGCTTATACTTCAATTAATGTTAAGACTCCCAAAGTGGGCAGTATCAACATCCAGGGGGTAGTTAAAAAAAAGGATGGGACAGAGTGGCATTAGAATTTTTACTATAAATTTATGACAAAATTCTAAGTTACTTAAACTTAATGAACATATATACTTTACAGAAAATAAAATTATTATAAAGATTTATACATGAATTTGTGATTTTATTTTGTTATCCAAAGTTAAAAGTTCAAACATTTGTTTGCAATTTCTGGAATTAAGAGTTGTCATTTTCACTATTTACATTCAAACTATTGTCCTCATTTTTGTTGTTATTATCACAACATTTTGACTGTTGTGTACTCTGGCCTTCATCAGGTGTATATCAATCTGGTAACCTACAATGTATCCCTTAACATGGACAGTGAAATGAGAACAGTCTCCTCCAATAGACTAAATAAAAGGTTCTATTTAGAATTCCCTGTTGGTTACCTGAATTGATATACACCTAACGCAGGTTAGAGGGCAAAACAGTCAAAACATTGTGACAACAACAAAGATGTGGACAGTAGTTCAAATATAAATAATGTAAATACAGGCTGCAATTGATAAATGGTCGTCTAAATTATGCAAAAAGGAAAATAACATTTCATTTTAACAGATATATTTACCAAAATTACACAAAAATATCTTGAAATACTAAAGAGTAAATTTATTCAATAAAATCACCATTGACTTCAGAGCCACGGCCTCCAGAGGACTTCAGAATCTCATGCAACTCTTCTGGACAGTCTTCTTGTTTAAGTTGGTGAATACTGCCATAAACCTTGCCTTCAGTTCAGTCTTTGGTATTACAAGGAGTTTTGTTGGTCTCTCACTCAACTGCACCCCACACACAATAATCAAGGGGGTTGCAGTCTGGTGAGTTAGGTGGCCAGATGTAAAAGGTGATGTGGTTGCAGAAATTGTCTGACAGCCATGACTGGATTTTTCAGCTTGTGTGGATTGTGCATAATCCTGTTTCCAAACATAGGGTCTTCCAGCAGCCACCCTCTTGACCCAGGGCAGCACCTCTTCTTCAAGGCACTTGATGTTGGCCTCCCTGTTGAGTCTGAGGTCTTATGGGAAGATGAATGGAGGCACAATGTTGACATCACTAGTGACCACTTCAAACACCATCATAATCACCATTAGATTCATCCAACTCTTTCTAATTCCTCTGCACTTAAATGTTCGTACTGGAGCTTCCAGCATGAATGCCAAGCAGTACAGCATGCCATTTCCAAATTTCTGGTGAAGTTAATTGCATCATAGTACTCCTTTTCTCACAGACAGTGACCAACTGACCCTACTATATTGCGCAGTTGACAAAATCAAAAACAAACTACATGCAAATTTAAAAATAAAAAATGGCAACAATTTACCCATTGCACCCTGTATGCTGATGTTATCTGGACAGGACATACCCCATACCATCCTAGTTTAGCAGCCAGTTTAATACTACTAAACTAGCCAAACATGTGTGGAAATTAAAGGAGAAAAATAAAGAAGATCCAATTGTAAATTGGAAAATTTTAAAAAAAGCAAAATCTTACAACAATCATAGTAACATCTGCAAACTGTCAACTAGAAAAATTAACTATAACATCCCCCCCCCAAAAAAAACTTGAATGAGAGATCGGAAATTATGACGCATTGTACACATACTAAAAAGTTCCTTTTGAGTTCATATGAAGTGGGATGAAAAAAAAAGTACATATATTTTATTCCCCCCCAATACATTTCCAATACACTTGCTTTCCCTCCTCACCTTCTACCACACCCCACATCATTTATTTATTCATTAATTTTTAAAAAACAGTGTTCATAAAATTTTTAATGTTTTTTTTTTGTTTTTTTTTAAAATAAAGCGTTAGGAAATCAACTAACTGAAATTGCCTGAAGATACCAAAAGGCTGAAACCAAGGCAGTGGAATCGGCTGATTTCCTAATTTTTTATACTTAAAAGTTCTACATGTTAAATTTTTATATGTGTATTGAGCATTGTTTCCTGGTTTAAATCAACTATGACCATCAACTTTTTGTTATTATATATATTTATTTTAGAATATTACATCAAAAACATCTCAAAATCGCTACACAGTTGCAGTCATGTTTCGATGCATCTCATCAGGCAATTGTAAATTACTGGACTTGCTAGTAATTTACAATTGCCTGATGAGATGCATTGATATGCATCAAAACATGACTACAATTGTTTAGCCATTTTGACATGTTTTTGATGTAGTATCCTAAAATATATAATATTGCTCTACTTTGTATTAAGTCCTCTTTTAAATTAAATGTTATGAACGATGGAATTGTACTCTATTTGTTGTGTGTGAGAGAGAGAGAGAGAGAGAGAGAATATTGTATGCTTACGTGTCTCATGGCTACCTCTCCAATTCTAGCTGAATGTTTGCGGATATTCTCCAGGAAATCCTTCAGGTCTGACATAGAAGCATCTTTGATGCTTTCTCGCAGCTTAGGAATGGCATCGCCCATTGTCTGAGAGAACCAGTGACTGCTTACTCTAGGCAAGTATGTATGCTCCAACTGCTCTAAGGTCTTCAGGGCAGGATAGTACCTTTTGAAGATAAAATGTTTTACAGTCTAAACATACTTGTTACCATTTTTTTTTTTTTTGTTTAATGCATTGAACATTGTCTAAGAATAAAAAAGAAACTTCACAATCTTAAATGTTTCTTCTTAATCACTAAGTAGAAAACAGTAGTAATTTTGTAATAGCTAAATAACATAATACATAAACAACTACTTAAAAATGAAGTGAAATATCTCGACAAAAATGTTTTTTCTACTAACATACATAAACAATCATAAAATACAACAAATTCATACAAAAAACAAACTAAAAGTTTGGAGTTCACATGCTTAAAAACAGTTTTGCATCTTTCAAATGTTTTTTGAAAATTCCATATTTATTCATGGTTATACATTCTTCAAGGCAATGTACATTTGGCTTTATTTTTTTTAAGAAATCGTGTAGTTAATACGAGGATATAATATCAGGTCTGTCAGCAAAGTGAGGGTTACTCCCAAAAATCACCCCTGACATCCATGAGAATGATAAGAATTATCAGTTTGCCCCCAACACTCTTGCAACAGGCTGGTATGATATCAATATTTCTAAGAACTTTGGTGCAAAAAGAAAACTTTTCAATACACAAACTTGATTTAAAAGATCAAAACTAAAAATAAAAAGGAGAAAAGGCAAAGTACAAAGGACTAGCAATAACGAATTGTTTATATATGTCAGCTTCCAGTAAAATCTGAGTAGAGTTCTATGCATTCAATCAACATTGTATACATCCTAATTAGTTTGCTATAAGAAAGAAGCTATTAGTGTATATAGCTGTAAACAATTTGTTTGAAAATAGGAAATTAGAAATGAAAAAAATAATTTTGGAATAGAATACAGAATTTGAATTAATCAATAGAAAGGTATTTTCTGAAAAAAAAAATTATCTACCTCTTGCTTTTCATCTGTTCTTTCAGCTTACCATACATCTCAAGAACTACAACAAAAAAAAGAGAAATTTTTTTTATTATTTCTGGAGTGATAGAGCAATATTTTAAACAAGAAAAACTCTAATAAAAAAACAATTCTTCATGAAACATTTCATTTCAGGAAATACAAACATTCTATTAAACATGAGCAATTATGACAGTAGTATTACCTTTTATTTTTTTATATGAAGCATTGTCAGCTATTATTAATTTTGATTAGTATTTGATATTCATTGATAAAAAGCAGCTAAAAATTAAGATGAAAGCAAATAGTAATCAAAATTTATAATGTATAATTATTTGGAAAAAAATTTAAATTTTCTAAATTACTACTACCCAGAATCATCTTCCTAGAATGCATATATAGATCACTTTCAATAACTATTACAAAAAATAGATTTAAAATACTACTTTTGTCCTGGAATAGTTGTTAGATTTAGTCTATGACACATATGCTCACTAGCACATGCAAAGAGAAAAAAAAAAAAAAAAAATCAACCTAACACTAATAACTAATGCATAAATTAATTTTTAACTTAGTATAAAAATAATGAAAATGAAAAAATTTGCAGTCAATTGTTGATACTTCCAGACAAGTAGACAGAACAATTACAAAAAGGTTCACTGACGAAATTCCAGAGTCAAGGTGTTGAATATAACATCAATCAGCTAAGTGACAAATTTTATTTGTATTAATCATATATATATATATATATATATATATATGTGTGTGTGTGTAAATAAATTGAAAAATAGAAAAGAACCGTTACATTATTAATCCAAAGTTCTTTAGTATTTTTATTTTTAAAAAACAGTGCCCAATAAACAAGTATAGCCTATAATTATTTAAAAATATGATTCCATCGCTACATAGGAATTACCAGGATTCAAAAGCAGAAGCTAAAAACTTCCAATTATAGTAATTAAAGTATCTAATTCTGTTTTATCCTCAAGTGAATTTTGAAACAAAGTAGTCAACTAAAGCTTAAGTAATGGCTCCACATGACAAGTATTAATGCTGAAATTTGCTCTTTAGCAAAATGTGAATTTTCCCTTCATGTTCACATATATTCTTGTAAATCTATTTGCAGCATTTGTTTTTCTAACTTGAAATATAATTTCATTATGAATCTATATTTTAGTCATGATTATTCTAAGCCATTACAACTCTACAACTGAACAAAGACCTTTCCTGCAGCTTTATATTCACTTTACTTTGTTTCTCTATTTTTAAACTTCCATTCAGGATATAAGTGATCAAGGCTCTCTACAGCTTCCTTTTATTTAATCAGTGAGAATCGCCATGACTACTTGAGAAACCTATTAGAGTGATCTCTCATCACTTTTTCCAGTTTTGAATGAAAAACTACTTCACTAACTTTCCCAAGAAAAGTTATGATAATGCACAGTTTAGAGATATTAAAGACAAGAAAGGTGTAGAGGGCCACGACTGCCTACATCATTAAACGATATAGTACTTAAAAAAAAATAAATAAATAAAATAAAAATTATTGGCAAACATGGACAAATGTGACCACAATAAGATGTAAAAGGACATTTTTTCCCATGTGACCACTTTTTTTTTTTTTTAAATATCTTCACTCTTTGGCAATGATTATTGTTTTAAAAAGTGATTATTAGAATTATAATAAAACCTAAACATATGATGAAAGTGAATTTATACTTTTTTGTTCTTGAAAATTTCCAGCAAAAATATTAAACACTATTTATTAAGATTGTTTATTTACAAGATTTATTTTATATTTACAACATTTTAAAAAATAATACAATTAGAATTAATGCAATACAATATTTATCATTTACCAATTTATAAAGAAATAAATGTCAAAACAATTCTTTATTCATAAATTTATAAACATTTACTAAATTATTAAAATATATAAATCAACTATAAGGAAATCCTTACTTACCATTTTATAAAGTTTGAATAAGTTGGCAATTAGCTAATGTTTTGCCAACTTTTCCAATAAATAATAGTGTAAATAAACAATCTAATAAATAAATAGTATTGATTATTTTTGTTGTAAATTCTCAAGAACAAAGAAAATGTATAAATTCGCCTTTATAGGTTTAAATTTTATTCCAATTCTAATTATCACTTTTAAAACAAACATTGCTGAAAAGTGAAAGTAGTTAAAAAAAAATGCAGTATCATGAGAAAAACTGTCCTCTTGACACTCCATCTTATTGCAGACATGTTTGTCCATGTTTGCCAAAGTATATTATTCAATTCATGCATATTATTCAAATAAGTAATATGCATAAATTAAATAATAGATTGTACAATTTAACAAGTTTATACCTGGTAAACAAAATGATAAACTTTCAATGGCTGAGGCAATGTTCTTTTGTATCCTTCGACATTGGATAAGTTCCTCCCCTTTGGCCAGGAGAGGAGCACAGGATTTTTGAAGGGCATCATTAGTAGTCTGTATTTCTTCCTGTGAAAACAAAAGAAACAAAATATATAAGTGATGTTTAATGAAGAAAAAAATTACAAAAGCCTATAAAGATTAAGAATATCTTTCTAGAACAGAAGATGAAAGTTAGAACTAACGACTACATCATTTTTTTTATTTTTTATTTTTATTTTTTTATCCAACATTGCCAAGAATTTTTTTATCATATTTCTAAATATTAAAATGTAATAAAATGTACTCATCTCAAAATAAAAATAAATAAAATAAAAATTACAACTATATACATTAAACTTGGGGATGCTGAAATATTCTTGACCTGACAAAGATGGAAATAAATAAATTTAAAAATTGGTCATTGTCAGATTTTTGGAAGTATGTCCAGCAGAGACCTTTTCAGCACCTCCTTATTTATTGTATAAATGATGCAGGAAAAATCAGTCTTTCTATTGATACTTGTTTATTGCCATCAGAAATACAAAACATTTTCATATGATTGAATTTATATGCGATCAAAAACTGTCATTGTAATAAAAATCCATTTTATATTAAGATACCATCAAGCAGGACTAAAAACTACACTTTGTGATCCAACCAAAATAACCAACCCTTACACTAAACAGCAAATAAGACTGCATTAGACTTAATGATTTCATCATATCTAAAGTTTCTTTATATTTAATCAAAGCTTAAATATCACTGAGAGATTTAAGTATAGAAACTGGTAGAAAAATTATAAACAAATATCTCCATTAAAATATTTCTGAATAAACTAGTCAATCCATTATTAAGTTTTCACATGTCATTTTTGTTTTTAATACATTTTCAAATTATTATTATTGTACTCTGCTCTTTCAAGGCATCTATCATTTTATCTCCCATCTTCATAAACTTTACTGAATAGTCCACTATATATTCTTAAAGATACTGCCATCTGATATTAGCAGTACAAGGAAGATAACTTTTATTAAAAAATGCTATTACTTTCAAAGATTTTTGGAGAGTCAGACACAGCTAGAAGTATCTAGTCATTTAAATCCTTCTTGCATCATTCTTGAACAGGATCAATCAAGTAGATCTTGTTCTTGATATGATATTCAGTATTTTAAATTCACTCATTATGTAAACTCTCAGAAGAACTGTTGATGCAAGTCTTCATGATAAAAGAACACAGAAAGTTAAAATGGGGAGGGGGGGGGTAGAACATTAAAAGAGTGAAAGAGATAATCAGTTACCCCGAAAAAAAGTTTGTGTTTTGTGTGCGATCTGCCAAAGAAAAATTACCAAAAAGTAGTCAGCAAAAATCTACATCAATGACTAGAAGCTATGCTAATGTTCTTCCCTCCTCTGAATGGTGTGACCAAGTAGAAAATTCTCTCGGTGAACAGAAGTCGTCGTTTTTCGCTTATAAAAGGAGATGATTTTTTTGAGCTGGAAAAAACGAACACGCGTTGTTGTTGGCGAGAAGTGAAGGTTGGATTTGTGACCCCATTTTGTTGTTTCTACGGTGTGTGTTGGATTGTTACGTCAGACTATCATGTGAACTGCGATTTGGCTACAAGTGTTGTGGCCGAGAAACAAGAAATCTATTGCAGTTGCTACTATCAGTTGACAGTCTTTTCTTTACTACAACAGATATGATAGTTGCCAATTGAGCCAACAAAAAACAAGTGAATTGATTTTTACAATAAGAAATATAGATCTGAAATCTTTTTTCTTTTTTTTTAAAATCTTTCTAACTTCTAGGATTTGATAAAATATCTCATTATTAAATGTTTTCCAATCATTTCTTGAATTGGTCTAAACACGAGTTACAATGATTAAAATTTATCAATAATCCATTATTCTATGTGGTACATAATGTACTAAGATGTAATTTTTGTCTGAATTTCTGGGATGAGGAGTTACCATTATTTACATGTGAACACTGTCCCCATCTTTGTTGTTATTATCACAATGATTCAGCCATTGTGCCCTATGACCTTCATCATGTGCTTGTCAATCCAGGTAACCTTTAGGGAATTTTTAACTGAACTCTTTATTTAATATAAAGGGGTAGCTTGTTCTCATTCTGCTGACAATGACTTGTTCTTATTTAGTACTGCTCAGTTACTGCTCACCCCGTTTCCACCGAGTCCAGTGTTGCATTGCTCAGCTCATGGATTGGACCCACAACTATTATGTTACCAAATCATTGACGTTTACCTGAATCAAAAAGTTCCTGATCAAGACTGAAGCATGCAACTGCTAAAACATTATTATAATAAGAACAAAGATGAGGACAATAGTCCACATATAAATAATAATAATATGTAAATATTCTTTATTATAAAAACATGTCCTCAAAAAAATTATGCATATTGTATTCTTGTATAATCATCAGTTATCTACTATTTTCCATATTTCATAAATGATTTTATTACTTTTCAAGTCAAATTTCTCTAAGAAAATGATGATACATCTACTAGACTCTGTACAAGTAAAAATTGTTTCTTTGATTTGCCATAACAAAATTATAAGTGAATTAATGTTCATGCATGTCACCAACTTTATCCTTAGTATGGAACCCAAACCTTGAAGATCTGTACTCATCATTAAGAACAACTTCAAAATGCTTTTTTTTCCTTTAAAAACATTAATGTAAGCAAAAAAAAAAATTAACCGAGATTATAGATACCATATACTTTAGTCCAATATTGCAATCAATGAACTATCATCAGGTAGCAATTGATTAGTAAGCAGTAACCTGGTTCACAATCAGAACTTAATAACCTGCACAGCAAATAGATTTTAAATGGATTCTTTGCATTCTTTTAATTAATGTCAATCATTGTGGTACTGGGTAATGTTAATCTGATGACCACGTACTTTTTTTTATACAAAAGTTAACTGACTAATTGGTTGGTCTCATTATCAATAACCAGCAGACAATAGGAATTCAGCAGTTGGAAATACCCCTTAAAATTATTGTTGTTTAAAATACAGTAGGACCCCCACTGCTAGGGTCAGCTATAAAATAACAAAAATATATATATAATTAAATAATTGTTATGTCAGTTTTACTTATTTATGGTTGACCCAATCTGTAAAATTTTTATATTTAAAATTTATTGAAACAAAATGAATAATTCCATTATTATTTACTTTTTTTCAATGAAACATGACTCAGTGCATATGTTAGTACTTTGTATGTCCATTCCACGAAACCATTCCTTGCAGATTGACCACAGATTCTTGGTAGGATTCAAATCAGGAAAGTTTCTGAGCCAGCTTTGATTTGCTCACTGGTAAGGCTTGCCATTGTGTTCATGCAGTGTTACAATTTTTGTATGCTTCCTTGGAGTAACGTTCATTGCAGACAATGGCCGTAGGACAACTAATTGACAATCGAGATAGTAATGTCTGGGCGTGATGAAAACCTGATGCAATCATGGATGATGGGATATTTTTCAAGGCCAAACAAATTTCATCATACACCCCAAAAATAGATTTATATTATGGCACAGTGCATACCATTGCAAATGACATAATCTGAGGAAAAAATAGAAATCGATTACACCCTGTCACTCTGGTGGGTCTAAAACTAACCTTATGGTGAAAGAAAGCAGTTATTTCAATTAATTTGCACAAGGGTGTACTTTGCAAAATATACTTCAAAAGGAGTAAAGGATAAAGTTTATCATTTTAAACTTTTGCCCTTTGTATTATTTTTTATGTGGAAAACATGAATAGTAAATATTCCATTTGATGGCAATGTATCGTGTCAGAAAGCATTAAAATTTGAATTAGGTTTTTAAAATAATGTGTCAATTTCCTGTTAAAAAAAAAAAAAAAAAAAAAAAAAAACTTTGAATATATGTTATTAAAAACAAAACAAAAATCTTGTCAAGAAGAAAAAAAAAGACTGCTCTGTAATATTCAGTATTTCTGGCAGTGAATGTTGGACAATTTCCTCATAGATGAAGACACTTGAATCAAGAGGCTTATAACAACATCATGTCAAAGTTAAGCAACATTAAGCCTGATCAGTGCTTTGAAGAGGTGAATTTATACCTTTCCCAAGTGTATTTGTGCACAATTGAATATAATGAACACAACTGGACCTGGAACTCTGCTCTTCGATGAACAATTCCAAGCCATTTTCCATTACACCACCTGCACATCAAAATTTACAGCACTCGATGTTCCCAAGCAGTCACCCATTTAGGTACTGACTAGGCTCAACGTTGCTTAAAATCAATGATTGTACAGGAACTGGTGTTTGAACATGATGTGCCTATAAGCCCTCCAATTCTGATAACCAAAGAATTACATATTTGCTATATTTGTCATTTAAACTTAAATTGCATAAGAAAAAAAGAAAAGAAAATCTAGTATAATCAAAAACTAACCTCTCCCTAATGAGAGATAAAATTATAAAAATTTGGCAAAACTTATTATAAATACATCTCTATAATTGATTATAAATATAAGAAACAGAGCTGAAAGATAAGCATCTCTAAAATCAACAATGATATTAATAATGTTCTTTGACTAGAGTCAAAATAAAGCTGTTCAGAAGCCTTCAAACATACAAATTTGAAGAGTGGGGTATACACCAAGAATCTACTTAGCTGAGTAGTAGGCAGTTTTGTAATGTCTACAATTACTTTAGTGTCCACTCAATTTTATGAATAGTCTTCAGTGAAAATAAATAAAACTGTTTAAACACAAACTCTCCACTCATTGACTTGTAAGTAGGCATCTTGGTATAGCCAAGTAGCTTGTTGGTGTAGTCATACTCTTTTATTAGAGGAAAACAATCAAAGAAAAGAAATATTGTAGCACCTTTATTTAAATATCTGCAGAAACCTTTGAGCAAAGATGATTTCAAATTGCTTCAATGAGCAATAGAAAATGATAAATTTCTTTTCACCAAGAGGCAAGTATGAAATTTTCAATAGAATTTCAAACAATTATTTGAAGCTTAATTTGAAAGGCAAATTCACTCCTTATACTAAATTAAGGTATTGTTCTTGTGTGTT